GTTAGTCACCCACTTCATATCACCTAATCTCGTTTTAGTCTAAAAAAAACACGAGGTTTAGTTAGTGACACGATGCAGTCGATGGTTATAAATAGCGAAATTCTCTGTACTTTCGTTTTATATACTTACAACATTGTGTCGTTATCTATAGCATCAGCCAGGATGTGTGTGTATAGCAGATGTGTATACAAGGTTCCGTGGTGTAGTGGTTATCACGTCTGCTTAACACGCAGAAGGTCACGAGTTCGAAACTCGTCGGAACCTTGATTTTGTTTTACTTCTATTTTGTATTTTTGTTTAAATATTCAGCACAGTTAAATATGTAAGAATATCGATTGTTTTCCTATATCTTTTCACCTACAATGTAACAACCAACCTGGTCACGATCAATATAATGTTATTAAAGTGGAGATTTATTATATCGATCCAAACAGAATATACATAGTGTAATATTTGTGGAGTCATATTTTCACGCTTAAAAGAAAGGAACACATTTCATTGGTATTCAATGAAAACGAGTGTAAGATCCTTTTTATCACATAATCAAGATTTTTGCCATGTATTCGTGAAAAACGACAATTTTCCAGTGCGTAAGTCTGTGACCTAGGCGTGACGTCACAATTGAAACCAATTGAAACTTACAACCAATCACAGGGCTGATAGGTCATATTTCACTGAATAACACAGTACATTGTGTGCTAAATACTGACCAGTCACGTGATTTAATCCACTTCTGCTTACTTATTACAAATAACCTTACATCATGTGTTTCGTATACGTGAAGTAAGAAGGCGTATGTTCACACGCGCGCCAGTAAGTATACAGTCTATATATATATACTGTTTTACGGCTATTGTTTTATCAGCTTAACACATATCTACTGCAAAACGTGCTTAATGATAATGTGTTTTCATTTATCAAATCATCTCATCTGAGGGGGATACTTACAATTACGCATTAGGAAGCCATCTTCAAAAATGGATCAGTCATAAAAACGCCATCGACCCATTGCTGTTGTAAGCTAAGTTATCACAGATGTATCAGGCGTTGATATAGGAATATCATTATGATATAAATAGCTGACTGACTGACTGTTAACATTTCTCGGTTCCATTATTTGGTTAATTTGGTTAATCTTAATTGGTAGTCTGTGCAATTAATCAACGCATGTATCTCTCTTGTAATATACACTTGTGCTGCATAATTTTCACGAATAAATAGTTCAATAAATATTTTAGATGAATAAACGGCCATTGTTCAATTTTCTAGCCATCTTATCTTTTGAAAATGAGATTAGCGTATACACATATAGAATGCAAATATTGATTTTTTATAAATAGTGTAAGCTCGCTTTGTTTCTGTGTGTACAGTACATGTGTATACAAGGTTCCGTGGTGTAGTGGTTATCACGTCTGCTTAACACGCAGAAGGTCACGAGTTCGAAACTCGTCGGAACCTTGAAATTTTTTTTTAATATATTTTTTTTTCCGTTGAAATAATTTTATGTTTTCGAAATATTGATCGGAAGTAAAAATATAGATATAATAAGATCTGTGTTTTCATGATGGAATATTTTGTTCGCCTCAAAATCTTACTTACTGTCTGCCCCGTGTCTGTCCAAATTGATAACAAACTAAATGAATTCTATTGTTTTTAAAGCAACTTCTTGTCAGATAACTAGATCACCGGCTACTTTAAAATGCATGTACAAGCCTAGGTTGACTATGTCGACCTATAAATAAATTGCGTAAAAATATGTACCCGAAGTAATTCTATCGTTCTAAGAATTATGTTGACCTGCTATGATACAGTTACATCGACCGATTTTAAAAATTGTATTGACTTTCTTTGATAGCTACTCGTTCGTGCACTAGTCACGAAACAAATTCATTACAGTGTCTTCAATTGTCAAATATTAAAGAGTTATGCAATCTTGGAAAGTATCTGATAGCGGCAAATAAGCGCCGATCAGATATATGACAGTTTGTTGATGTGTGTTGTTCATTCTCCTGTGACCAATGTAGCCTTTTGTACATACAATGTACGTAAATATCCTGTATATTATATGTTAACACTGATAAGTCGTAAAACTTATAGTCAATAAAGAATTTGAACTTGAATAGTTCCGTCCAGAGTAGTGTTTTGCGTGTTGACACTTGTTTCAATATCCTGGCATACATGTAAAAAGGAAATTAAATCCAAACGTTAGGTTTTATTTTGTTTATTGTTGATTACGTAGATAAATGATACAACAAATAAAAAGTACAAAACTGTTCATAATATGATAATTGTTTACATTTATATATTACATATACTTGATATAAACAAAATATACAAATAATGTATCACTGTACAAAAAAATGTGACGAACACAAATCAATATCTACTTAAAAATAATAGTCAGAGTCATAATATTAAAGTCACAAAATACAACAATGTGGGATGTACGCATCCCGAAAGTGTGTTCCGAATGTGGTACGTGAATACTACATACGTACAGGTGGGATATTTCATTCTCGAGTCGTCCGAACGTAAATCTCATTTTATATCTATTTAAATCTCAAAATGAGATTATGATGTGTGCAAATGTTTAAATTGTCAATCATATTGTGTTCACTGTATTCATAATACTGTTTAGTTGTTACATTTCGCGGGGTTCAAATTTCACGATTTTTTGTCCAGAATCTATTCGCGGGGTTTCATTTCGCGAATCACAAGCTCTGTCTTTTTCGGAACACCTCGCAAATAGTTCCGAGTGTTTGTTACTGCAAGCAACGAGCAGTAACGTAGCTTAAACAGTGTGTGTATCCTAGGTTTATAAAACGCATCGAAGTGAAGAGTTACGTGTGACATATGGATGTAAAAGCGACGATCAAAAAAATATTCACGAGGGTTTTAATTCCGCTAATTTTAACGCATTCGCGAAATTCGCGAAATAAAAACCCTCGTGAATATAAGCAACTATACAGTAGTTAATAAGATAATGAAAACGTCGCTGACTTTCGAATAGTCAATAAAGTCTTAGTTTAGGAAATGCTTTTTAGGGCTTTGCGTAGATTGACTTAACCGACACATCTTTCTTAACTTCAAACCCCTACGCAAATGTTAACTATGTATAAAATGTTTAAAAAGAACTTTTTATGTGCACTGGGGTATTTTCTGAACAAAAATAACATGTTTAAGCATTCATAATGAACAAATGAACAGATAAATGGAAAATGCATTGAATAACACAATGAGCTTCTAAAGTTGAAATTAGCCGCATGGAGTCATTATCTCACAGCCCAAAACATTTATGACTCGAAAGATTAAATGTGATCGCTTAAAATATGATTATATATGACGACAAACCTTTGTTTTATCTTGCAGTAGCGCAATCAAGGAATAAAGTGTTTTTTGGTGAAATATAAATTGTTTTTAATCTTGTCGATATAAAACAAAGAAACAAATCGGCAAAAGTTTTCTGAGCAACATGTAAAAATGCAACGGGAACGGGGCCAGACCTGGTTTCTTACACTGGATTTTCGATCCTTATATACCGCCGCTCTAAACAAACGGAACCATCTGATCCATGGTAAGGACACGACCCAGACGCGCTACATTTATATTCAAAATAAAATAAAGGGGACACCATGCACTCTGTACACTCAACACTTAACCTACAGTTCTTTGGTATTGGTCAGCTAGGAAAAATCAGTCCTTCGCCAAGCTGCTTAGGTATCTGGCCTCAAACCACAGTTACTTTCACTTTCTGTTTCTTGTTCTATGATTTCGCTGGAGATCTGATCTTTACATGTTTCTTTCAACGGTCCAAGACACATTTGTGGTAAACTGGAAAACTATTTTGACCTGTATAATCTTTATAACCGTATAACCCTTTGTACTATTATATGACCATGAAGACCATGTCCAGAGGCCGAACAACATACCATGTTTTTTGCACCAACATAAGTTTCACACAATCTTATCAGCCCCTTTAATTAAAAGGAATAGGCTTATATTTCAATTTTGGTTTAACATATAGTTTCATTTAATTCATATGGAAGAACTGAAAGTTTATCTAATAACAAGTCGAAACTTCAGAAATGCTTTGCATTCATCTACAACGAGTCTGAAGCATTGTCTGTGGTCTGAGACCATATGTGGCCTGACTTGACCGTAGTCTTGTGGCCTCGGTCAGATCAAGCCACACTGGTCTTCATTCAAAATGTTGGCCTCTGCAAATACAGTTAGGCTGTATTACGAATGACCACCTGACAGAAATTAAAGACTTTAATAACACAACGATCTACACATTTGTTTTGAGATATCGGAATACAAATCACATGATATACACTCAATAATTACAATCGTCAGCATTACATTACAGTACCTGCTGTGTGAGTATGTACACCATTATACATCATACTATATGCAGTCTATTAGTAAAACCTCGTTATACTGCCACCGTTGGACTTAAAAAAAAGAATTGGTGTTATAAAGGGATTGGCGATAAATTGAGGGAAATGTACAAAGGAATTCTTGAGAGTAAGAAAGAACAAAACTGTCAAAAGGACCTTGCAATGTGTTGGCTGTACGCGTGATGGCAGATAGAACGAATGGCATTATATCCAGGTTTTACTGTACCACAGTAACATTAAATATTATTTATCAAGTTTATCACGACACATTATACATATACTGAGAAGGTATACAAATGACCTGCATTATCATGTGTACAATAAAATAATTAATTATGGTCAACGCTAATAATTATACATTTAGTTCATAAACAATACATGTATATTTACAATTGTATTACAGATCAAACTTCTTCGGTAATTATAAATACAACAATCGTAAACTCATCTGGAGAATAACATAAAAACTAAAAGTGAATAACAAAACGATCTGCAGTTCTAACTTGGAAGTATTGTAAGCTTGTTAATTTCAAGGACTGTTATTAGTTGGATCAATACACTGTACACGTGACCAGTTCTAAAATAAATGTGTTTTTCGAATTTTTTATTTTTAATGTTCCCTTGCCTATTGTACTTGAAATGCGTATTTTATGTTTGATTACCTGTTTACACACAACTTTATTGTATTGGTCAGTACGATCGTTCGACTTAGGCGAGTTGTTCGAACCTGCATGTTAGACTGCAGAAAGTGTAACATTCAAACAATGTAATAACAAATCGTTATTGTTCTTCTTAATAGAATTGACGAAGTATTGACTTAAACAGTTATGCACTTCCATGATGATACATATAACGTGATATTAACTTGTAAGAGCGATATAGACTTCGGTTTCGCCTTGATCAATATAACATATGTGTCGAGCATACTGTACACTAGAACACAGGGAAGGATGTGCAAAAAAACCAACCTTTTCGTGTAACATACTAAATAACGGTGAAGTGAACGCGCAGACAGACTAGACAACGAGAGAGAATGTAAAAACAATACCTTCTTGTATCAGACAACGGAAAGACAACGCAGAAGGAAGCGAACACAGTATCCAATATTATCCTTGAAACTCCATTTGATACGGTCAATTTATTATTAATTTAAAATTTATTATAATTTAAAATTTATTAAAATTTAGGTTTTTGTCATGACAAAATCAAAGGCTCTGTACTAACCACATTGTGATAGCTACAAGTATATTAGTTTGATCTTTTGTTGAAATTCAGATTAATCGGGCGGCACAGTAACGGTTAATTTAACCGGAGTTGCTATCGGGTGTAGTTCTTCTGATTTATCCAAAGAACAGGGCATGTTATTTTTTGCCTTAAACCAATCAAATAGCAAACGATATGCCCTTGAGAACGTGAGTGAGCGTAACCCCTTGGAATATATCGGATGATCTAAATAATGCATTAAGAAAGCATAAGGGAGCTATATGGCAAACTGCACTGAACAACGGTTTTAAAGAAACATAAACATTATATCAATGTATATAGTTGGAAATACACTGATGTTTTCGACATAAATCACAAATTGACATGCTAATTATAGTGATTTAACATTAGAGTACAGAACAAGGAAAATATTGCTTTTAAGGTTTTTTCCTTTTGTCAATAAAATAAAAAATGAATCATTTAAAACAAATGTTTACAAGGAAATTACTTCACACGTGAAAAATCAAAACATTTCTGGTCATCTGTAACCATGGTTAGGGCTAATGTTTACCAATGTATACCAAGTACATTGTATTTTCCACAATTATTGTACCATAAATAATATATCAACTTTATATTTATATCAACAATATACATATACTTTAATTCAATAACATGTGAATTTACAACGATTTGTATGAATTACATTCAATAAACAAAATATACATCATGATGTTATATACATGTTTCTTTTTGTAATAATCATTAATTAATAAAAATAAATATAAATGTGTAATATATAATTTTCGAGTTATTTATAGCATTCCAACCACGTGAAGTCGCAGCCAATCAGATATCGTCTGGTAATTTGCTTTCATCCATTTAATGTTTCCTCTGAAATACATTAATGACATTACTTATTTATTAATTAATAACAATATATTGAATGTTTTCTATTTCAATTACAAAAAAAAATATGTTGCTGGAAATTTGTGTCTGAGTTATCGCCCTTCCATAATACAAAATGCAACTTAGATTTTAATATTTTCAATTTCTATACCTTTTATTCCCAATAATCATTAATAAAGTGAAAAAAAATAATTTCATAACGTTAAACTTTTCAGGAATTGCGACACATTTTTTTCAATTAAGGATGCATATATCAATTGCTGAATTAAGCAATTAGTGTAACCTGTATGTAAGTCTATTCCGTCTTTGCGTATTGCAGAGTTATCTTCTCTTGAGAGCAAGTATTGATTGTTACGTCATTGGTTTGTGTGAGAAAAATACGTCGTTTTCTCAAAAATTGATGACGTTACTCTCAAAAACAAATGACGTAACAATCAATACCTGCTCTCAAGAGAAGATAACTCTGCAATATGCAAAGACGGAATTACCAAACTGAGGTATTATCAATTATGTTATAGTGTACGTTACCGTATCAATTCCAAGGAATTCCTTGTTTCTCTAAAAGCTATTGCCGGCATCTTTGAGCTGAACAACGTTTCTAGCTGAAATTTAGATTTGAAATTATAAAATCAAAATATAAAATTCAGCAATTTCGTTTACAGGTTCATGGATCTTAATAAGTAAAGTGTGTATGTGTGACGTTACGTAGCCTGTCCCATTCATCAGACAAATGACCAGTACAAATTAAGCACGCCTATCTGTCAAATGAACGACCGTCTTCTTTTTAACAATATGCGATATACTCTAAATTGGTTAGATTATCACAATAATAATCAAAAATTCATATAGTGGAATATTACAGCTAAATCCGCATTACTTTTTTTTATATTCGAAAATGTCAAAACCTGTACCTGGTCAAGCTCAAATTCTGTGTTTACAAATTGAGTAACCTCTGCTATTGTTTCTCTTAGAAGAAACCCGTCCGCTCCAAACCTAAAATTAATAATAAATAAACTAAGTAATGTAGTTAAAAGCAAAGGAAGGAAGTCAGTACTGTTGAAAAAGTAACAAATAAAACAATGATAAATGCAGTTATGTCCTGTATTTGAATGAAATTATCGATATTTTGTTTTGAATACAGAAAAAAATGTAAGTATCTTACAACAATTATGATAACTTATTTGCAGTTTTGTGTATCACTCCTTATGCCACTCATTGAAGTGAGCAGGTGACTATATATGGTAAAAAAGCATACGTTTAGACGTCCGGTTATAGATTTGAGCCCCGTTTGTCTTAATGGCAAACAAGTGACCAGAACGTTTACATTGTTTGGGCCATTTATTATTTTAGTAACGAATTTTGTTTTCTTTTCGTAATAGTATTTTTATCAATAAAACACGTTGGTGACAGTACATGTCATATGACCCAAATACGTCACATGACAGGTCTGAAGTGTGAAATTGCATAACATTTATGGAACATGTCACATCGCCTTGGCAGTGTTTTGTATTTTTGTCATTATACTATAAATGGCATATGATCCAAATACGTCACATGACAGGTCATTTGCTATTTCAGGAGGTCAATTATAAACTTCAAGACATGATATATTACTTATATTGTGACTTGATATTGTATTTATAGTACATTATGATATATAACTTGAGTTATAACATGATATTGTATTTATAGTACATTATGATATATAACTTAAATTATAACATGATATTGTATTTATAGTACGTTATGATATATAACTTAAATTATAACATGATATTGTATTTCTAGTGCATTATGATAATGTATATATATACATGTAACTTAACTTATAACATGATATTATATTTCTAGTACATTATGATATATTAATTAAATTATAACATGATATTGTATTTCTAGTACATTATGATAATGTATACAAAAATTAAAAAAAAAAAAAAATCAAGACAATGTGGACTCACTGTTCATTGAGCTGTTCCCATTTGTTCATGAGGAGGTGAAGCGCGATCATACGTCCTAGTGGGTTCTTAGCAAAGTAGCTGACAACCAATCGGACGTCCTGCCTTTTAATTTTTGTCTCGTCGAAAATCCAATTTGCATATCTGAAAAACAATACAAAGACAATAGAAAGTATATTGCAAAATTATAATATGCATGATATTGACACCCTAAGATAGTGTCAATATTAGAATAATATCAGCGCCAAGTTCGGGACGAACCAACATCAAAAGTCAAGAAGGAACTTACAAATATGACATCATCTTTGAAATCCATGTTCTCCTTCATGAATATCTATAGACATATATCTTCCCTTCACCCATGACTATCATGACAAAATTAAAGATATGCGCTGTCCTATTTCATTTTTTGAAGATTACAGAGGAGTTAGATTCGACTTGAAAGCCAACCATTTTACCGTTATCCTGCAGCGCGTCAACGGACATCAAACGAACACAATTGTCTACTTATATATTTGCGCGTACAGGGCATTTGATTTGTCATTACATATTCAAAGGACGAAGAAAAACATATGTGTATCAAGAGATGAACATTAGAGTTACGACGACAAAATATCATAACCTTACCTCCATAGCAACCATGGTTTTTGTGTCTGCGCAAGCGCCTCCATAAGCATTTCCCGTTCCGCTGCGACGTTCGAGGCCTGTGAGCGATTCCACACGTAATCCCATTCCTCTACACTTCCCTCCCTTACACCCACCGAGTAGATCGTCAACGAGAAATGTGACGGGGGTCTGAAGAGAATCATGCATAAAATCAAATTCTGCTCACTAGATTGTACTTCCCAATTGTTTGAAGATAAAGGAGGTTTGAGGTAAGTTTTATGCCATATTTCTACATCCGAATAATTAAATGTAGTCTTAAATATCTTGTACGTAATTCTTTGAAATTGAAAATGTTAGAGTAAGTGCTTCTCATATATATTATGCTATTGATAAGTTTAACGTCTCATTTATTTCTGTAACACTAGAAACATTTTCATTCACGTTCAACGGTGCGTCCTAGGGGTTGTTTTGTTAAATACTTAGGTGTTGCATTATATCATTGTATATCTTTAGAATGAATATGTAAATTTGTGGATAGCACCTCTGTTCATGGCGTCGGATTTCTATATATAAAGACGATGCAAACACGCACATTTCAAACTTTCTGATTGGGTATTGTATTCATGTATTTTTGTTTTCTATATTCTTATTGGTAAAATCCGAGAAAAAATTGTTTTTCACAAGTCAGGAAAAATATGGTAGTTCTAACTGCAGTAAAAACCTCATTATGAAGCAGTCTTATTTAATAATGATACTCCGGCAGGTACGCCCACTTCTCTGCATCCCTGGAATATGTCATAGCAAAATTGAAGGTTCAGTGTGCCGCACCTTGTTTATGAGGCAAGAAGATTAGTTCGATCCTTTGAGGTACACCAAAAAAATCTCGCCGTCATGTAACGGTAAAAATTGACAGGCTTTGAAGTCGGGCGTTTCTTCTTTGTAACTTCAAAGGACAGGTATCAGCTTCGCGATTGGTCAGTTTTTAAAGACCAATCAAACAGCTATCTTCGTGCCTTCAATTTTGCTATGACCTATTCCAGGGGTGCAGAAAACGTACGTGAGCGTGACCCCTTGATATCGAGGATGATCCTGATATTCAAATGTAAACATATCAGTTACGTGTTAACTAGTTCTACTCACTGGACGTTATCTTCTTTCCACTGGCGAAACTTTTCCTTCGCGTAGTCTATAGCCTTGGTCACTCCTACGTCACACGCTGTGGTAAGTATGACCTCTCGGAGGTATCTAAAAGGCAAACACAACTATAGTTCACGTTCAAACATCACAAGTCAGTTTCATAATTCAAAGTTTTACTTCAGTTAGTATCTTGATTGACATTTTTACTTTAGTCGGTTTCATAATCCAAACTTTTACTTCATTCAGTTGCATAATTCAAACTTTTGCTTTATATAGTTTTATGATTCAACCTTTTACTTTAGTCATTTTCACGATTCAATCTTTTACTTCAGTATTAAGTTTCACATTATAAACTTTTACTTGAATCATTTTCATGATTGGATTTTTTAGTGGATTATTTATGAGCTTCATTAGTTCCTCAATTCTATATACATTTTCGGTGCAGTTTAATTTTTGCCTTTTCGCCCTCCGTGATAAACAATATTATATACATAGTAATGAAATCAACACGGGGCGAAAACTGATTTCATGAGCGAAAGGCGAAAGTTTGACTGGGTGAAAATTCGTGGTATACAGTAATACTTTACATGTTTGTTATTTATTTTTGTGTATAATAAAATTATTCGTTCATAAAACGTGATGCATTTTGTAAGTGGCCACATTGTGATAAGTTTAGTTTAAACATATTTATTGCCAAAATTAGACAAGGGATTAGGCACAAGTTATAACAACTTATCAACGCCTTCTCCCAATATACATTTGACATGACATTACAATAATGACAATAAATATATACAATTGTTATTACAATTTGAACTCAAAATCTCTTGCTGGATTTAATAAAGTTTTGCACAGATCTAAAAATGTTTGAGTTAAGGTCCACGGAAAATTGTGAATTGCCAAACAAAAGAATTTCTAAATTTAACGCAACATTGTGATATCAGCTTACATGCAGTACAAGTATTTAAATGATTTTTCCATCTGATATCATAGTTATGTTGTTTACGACTTATTTTCCGCCTAAATGTAAATAAAAATGCAGTTGAAATTATTCATTTCCAGAAGAAAAAATATTCCAAAGCGCATTTTCCTTTCAAAACAGCGTCTAGGTTATTATATTTCAAATATATCACTAACTTTTCAGGTAATATTCCACCAGGTGAAGTCCCAACTTTGTCAAATACTGGAGCTACAAGGTCGTGCAGGTATTGCTATAAATAGAAACAAAAAACATCCCAATTAATTCACTCAAGTCATAGCAGGTTCCATTAAATACATTGAAGATCTCACATGAGTTTAAATATCATATATGAATTTTGAAATTTATTAATGGATCCCTGTTTCAATTTAAGCATAACACTAGATATTCAAGTGCTATTTTTTGTATATGCAGTTACTGTCTCTTAGTTTCGATGTAGATATAGATGTAACTTTAACGCGATTGGGCAAAAGGAGTTAGCTGAATAGGTTAAAACGACATAATTTCAATATGAGGTACATGGTTCAAACTCCAACTTTGCACACAGAATGGTTTCAGTGAGAACATTTTTGTCGATTATGTTTTGTTTATTCTATGAAATAACTTTTCATCAAAGTACCAAAATGTTTTTCACCGAATAAAAGGTAGGTGAATGATGAAGAGTTAAATCTGGTGTACATATGTCATTGGTTTTATAATGCAGAATATGTTACATGCAGACAGCCCTGAATAATGACGGTGTTTATGTGACTCGGTAAAATATCATTTCATTTGGAGACCTTAAGAGTAAAATATTAAGTATGCTTTTTTGTTATGATATATATTTTGAAGAGCACGTATTTATGACGAAAGACAAAAGAAGAAAGAACTACACACACGTATTATTAAAATATATACATTTTTCAAACACGGTCGCTGCAGACGACCTAGTAATTCTGTAAAGTATAGTTTAACAGTCAAACAGATATTGCAAAATCAACTTTCTACATTTCAAAAAGAAACGTAAATTGCATATATCCCTTGTGCAATCAGATATGGTTTAAAATATATTGCATTCAGACAAGATAAATATACATCGCGATATCAATGTAATATTATTAAATGTTCATAGTTACCCTTAAGAGTATGTACGCGCCCTGTTTCGACAGCATGCCTTTGATGAACCTGATGGATTCCAGCATAGCTTCCCACGGGACGTATCGCGCTTCCTGATTCAAATATGTCGTCATATTCAACGCAACGTCATAATCCAGCAGCTTTGCCCTAGCAACATAAGTATTGATACATATCATATATAAATTATATGACAATATATGCAATATACAAGTGTTTATGTATCACATTTAATTACCTTCTTCGGGGACGTAGTACAAGAAATCGAACTATTTGTCAATGCTCCGGCTAACGCCAATGCCATGGAGTGGTATTAATATTGGATATCAAATATTTATATTTAAAAAAAATACTTTATAACAACGAATAGTTAAAGAAGTCAAAATCAAATGTGACCAGTTTTGAACATTTTTACGTCTACAAATGCTATTTTATAAAGTCATGCTTAAAAGTTAAAATGTTTCGTAAACATATTGAACTGAAAAATTGATATTTTAGTTATAAATAGTCATGATTTACTTAATTTTGTAACACATAGTTGTCTTAGTTAGTCATCTATATTTATCTTAGTTATTCATAGTTAGCTTTTAGCAAGAGTACACAATGATTTGTCAAAAAAGTTCTGTCTAGGAAATAAAACAACACTTTTTAGTTATACCTTGCTAAGTTGAAGGCATCGCCGATAAGTCCTGCTCTGTTTGCTTCAGGAAAAACCTACATAAAAGTAATATTTTGTTAGTAAAACAAATATGAAAATAAACACAAGAAGACAATATAGGGCAAACTCATCTTCAAATCATAGAAATAGCAATTAACAAACTTGTTAATTCCTTTGAATTGTATTGTACAAAAGTAACTACTTACAGATTTTCATATGGAAAGGGGAGTAACTCTGTTTAACTCAGAGTCACATTTTATATGTTCCTACACCATCGGCGACAAATGAACTTTTTTTTGTACATGAATTAAATAACAGTCTATTTTAAATAACTGAATATCTCGTGTACGTTTTACAAACTTTGCCTTAAGGTGTTATTCCCGAATGCATTTTTTTTGCAATATGAAGAGGCATTTCATTTTTTAATGCAATTGTTAACAGAACTAAAATTTGCCAAAGTATTAAATGAAAAAAATATATTCTAAATATTAATACAAAAATAACCCTTCACGAAAATAAAGTGACTTACCGTATTAACTTCGAATTGCAAAGAAACTCCAAAACAACTTAAAATTTGACACTATATTATGCACATTTGATTGATTTGCAAAACCCTCCAAACTAAAGTCAACAAAAGAAAGGGAGGGAATCAATTACCGTGTGATCCTCGTTTAATTGTTCCGCTAGAGCGCGCCACATGCTGAGTTCATAATTTACTCGATAAAACCCGATATAATCCACGTTCCCTAGAATCCAATGGTTTTCTCCTTTCGGTATCTTCGCTGTTGAAATGAAATAGTTGACAATAATACCATATATGGCATATATGGTATTCAAAATGGGAAAATCATTAATAATTTAATAGAAAAGACAAAAATAACGAAACAAAAATGTACTCATACGGTTAAACCTCATTACGATGTCACTTATATTTCCCAAACGCAAATATATTTCAATAAACATTTCCTTTTGATACCAATTCCTTATAACGTCATGATCAATTTAGGTTTATCTTCAAACTTTAAAAAAAAAGCGAAGAAAAACATCATGGCAGATTATTATCGATGAATCATTTTCTATCAAATTTGTTGCGAATCTCAAAAATGTCAAAGGCCATGTATATGAGAGTAATCTTGAAATTTAAAACATAAACTTGTCAATAACAACATATATTTTCATTTTCTATTCATCCTTCCATTGTAATGCATCACGAAGGCAAATGTTGTTTTGAGACTATAACAACATTTGCTTTTGTAACGTCATCAATCTCTATTGTGACGTCATCAATTTCATTGTTGTCAGCACTTGATGTGCTAGTCCAAAACTGTTCGAATTGATAAAATAAAGCATAACCATTCTATCAAAATGTAAATATAAATAATAAATATTTTAGCAACTATTGTTTTGATCCTATTATATATATATAGGACCATAACAACATTTGCTAACACATTCATTGCTTAATTGACATTCAAAATACAGAAACAAATGTCATTTCTTATATCAGTATACGTACCTGAATTCATGCTTAACCACACCAACTTCCGGTTACTTATGTTAGGCTCTGCCTCGGTGATGTACGTAAATGGAATGTGCCACTTGTAGCTACAACGTAAAATAGTTATCATTATTGTTTTAATTATTAATCCCTGAAGATATTTTAGCTTTCGAACTTTAAGGAAACAGATACAAATGTATGTAACTTTCTCAGCGTATATAAAGTACTGAATTTGACTAAACACTACTGTTCTCAAACGCTGCGTTGGAAGTCTACCGTCGTCGTATAAATTTAAATAAATTATCAAAAATGTGGTTTTATTGTTAAAATAAAATCTTTATATCGATTACAATTTGTTATTCCTCATTTACATACATTCAAACTCGTATCGTTTAAGTACGTAATGATAATGACGAATTTAATCGATTTCATTATTTTGTCACTTTTTAATCAGTTGTTGCCTGCCTACCTGTAGTATAAATAAAGTACAAAAGTGTAAAAAGGTTGCCGCAAATCTTATCCCTGATATAATCTCGCCAAAAAATGTTGTCCTTACAATAGTGTTCGTAAAAAATACCGAAAAAGGTAATCATAACATAAGTTCTCCCCCAGGTTCTCGACACTTTCGGCAATATTCATACATAACGGGAAACAAGAAGGATCCCCCTTCTGGGGCCTCTGGAATCTCACTCGTATGGACTTGGATCACCCATGCTGGAGTTGCCATCAAGAAGAAAACGATCTTGATCAAGAATGTAGTGATCTCCTTCAGATCGGAGGGTCACCACGGGATATCCCATCTGTCGCGTCCAGGTGTCCATGATTTCCTCTATCACAAATTTGTTCCCAACGGCCTGTTGAACGGGAATAAATAGCAGCATGTTGTCAAAATACCGTATACAACATCAAAGCAGAGAGTTATTTCCCTTCTTTCGTCAGGAAATTAATACTCGCGTAGTGTAGAAATCGCGGAGTGGAGATCATTTAAATTTTAACTCATTAAAACATTTAGACCTGTTATTGTGCTTTCATTCTCATTGTTATCCTTTATTATTTGTTAATACACCTAGAAATACCTATGTGGTATTGTGAAATAAATAGGGGCCCAATAAATACGCTGTGTTACTATATTCCGGGAAATGTTTGCGGCTGTTTATTTTTCACACTTTTCGCCCTGAGTAATGTGGGCGAATTTATCATTATCGGGAACATTTGTAAACACTATAATATACCTATTTATTAAATGTGATTGGCAAATCTAATATGGGGAGAGAATTGATTTAACCGATGAAGGGCGAAAATTAGAAACGGCGAAAAATTCCTGGCACACAGTAATTCGCAACGTTTTACAAAAATGTACCAATACTCCGTATACCGTAAGCATAATAAATGTAAGAGTCTTAAGAATTTACCGCCCATGTAAAATACAAATATGATTATGATAGCCGTTATTTATATATAAAAAAAAACAATCTTTGTGAATTAAGGTAGAGTTTTCTGGTAAGGAAAATATGTCACTCACCTCAGAAAAGGTATGCCATAACTGTTGCATGACGGCGTTCTGAAACTTGTACCTTGTTACATACACCTGGTTAATAAAAAAAGAACAAGTTAATACAGTATAAACTGGTACCTTGTTATGTACACCTGTTTAATACAAACATGACAAGTCGTAAACAGTATAAACTGGTCCCTTGTTATATACACCTGGTTAATACAAAAAGAACAAGTTAATACAGTATAAACTGGTACCTTGTTATATACACCTGTTTAATACAAAAATGACAAGTCGTAAACAGTATAAACTGGTACCTTGTTATATACACCTGTTTAATACAAAAATGACAAGTCAATACAGTATAAACTGGTGCCTTGATATATACACCTGATTAATACAAAAATGACAAGTCAATACAGTATAAACTAGTACCTTGTTATATACACCTGGTTAATACAAAAATGACAAGTTAAAACAGTATAAACTAGTACCTTGTTATATACACCTGGTTAAGACAAAAAGAACAAGGCAATACAGTATAAACTGGTACCTTGTTATATACATCTGGTTAATACAAAAAAATGACAAGTCAATACAGTATAAACTGGTACCTTGTTATATACACCTGGTTAAGACAAAAAGAACAAGGCAATACAGTATAAACTGATACCTTGTTATATACATCTGGTTAATACAAAAATAACAAGTTAAAACAGTATAAACTGGTACCTTGTTATATACATCTGGTTAATACAAACATGACAAGGCAATACAGTATAAACTGGTACCTTGTTATATTCCTGGTTAAGACAAAATTGACAAGGCAATACAGTATATTATGATAGTTTCGCTGCGTATACTTATAAGATCCAAAACAAGAACTGCGAAAAATCTTATTTTATCTTGTGAAGGTTCATATGTTAATTTGATTATCTCCCTTTGGAGTTTATTTCATTCTTCTATACATTATGGGTATTCATATTTACTATGGCATTTTCAATTTAGGTTTTACCACAGGTACATCGCTACCAATAGATCGTAAAATAGACCATAGAAATAAACGGTACTGTTGCATAGTATTGTCTACATGGTAGAGTATACCAATTAACTATTTATTTCCATAGACGCAGAAGTGAATTATCATAATGCCCTAACTATGCAATAATGGAAAAATAACCACTCGCGATGTTTGAAATGAAGAAAAAATTATGGGAAGATAACTCTGTTCTGCAAATATTATTTTAAATACAGAATACGGTGTTACAGTAAGATGTTTAATGGTTAAAAGCGATAATAAATAAAAACCGTAAATTGCTACAGAAGCTGTTAAGTATAATTTTACTGGCGTTATGAATTCAACATTAAAAAAATGACTTATGTTTTCAAAAAGGTTTTAATTCCAATCATTTCCAAAACCTGAAAATTTGAACATACACTGTTGTTACCTCGTAGATTAATATCCCCGCGCAAAATTTATAAAGAAAACCCTGCGAAACTAAATAAAATACCTGGAGAAATAGTGAGGTAGATTAAAACCATTTTGAGTGATTTGGCTATGACGTGCTGTAGGACCCATACAACTAAATCAGCCAATCAGCAAGTGTTTCATATAATTGTAATCTTTACCTAAAATTGTTCCGGGTTAATACAGTGCCTCCGAGTAATTGAAATAGGTAATTGTTGACATATTAAACAATGAATGAAATCTACAGATATTGAACTTTAGATAAACGTATAGCTTTAGCTAATTTAATATGTGATGGCGGATTGATATTCGGTCGAATTACAGGAGGGTGTTCCCGTCTCACTTCACCGTTTTGGCTTGCAAATTTCTAGTTGTCAAAAACAGACGCCTGTACCGCTTTTATATGCCTCTAAACCCGCCGTAAATGACTTTGAAGCCTTTTTCAGGTATGCATCTTTGAATCTAGACAGTTATCACTAGTGTTGAACTTCAAATATTAACGTTATTTGCTCGAAAGCTTAGTAATAACATACAGTAATTTATTCAGTTGTGTGAGTCCTGAACCAAATTGATAGCTCTATATATTCCGGAAGTGACGTGCTTTACATACCTGTAAGCCTGTTCTGAAGTCCTCCCAGCCAACAAAACCAAGCAACATTCTCAGGACGGCCATTCCCTAAAAAATCAAAAAATCAATATTTCTAGGCATTCTAAGTCATGAAATTAACTTCGGTTGTTACCGTAAGTATTCGGATGAGGACGTGTCCGGTTAATGTCACGTGGTGTAAGGTATATATATATATATATATATATATAGGGAGCAACACATTCAAATGCAATTGTTTGTAGACCTATGTTGGCAAATGGGGGTAGGTAGCAGTGGTTAGGTTTGGTTTGTATTTGGTTGTGGTTTGTTATAAATGAATGAGCAACGAGCTATACCCCATTTATGTCTTGTTATCATTTGAATTTAATTGATTTATATTCGGACGAATAAAATGAGGGAGAACATAATTGTTGTAACGAATAATAACAGAAAGCCCTGCTCAAATAAGTAAAGGTAGTATCAAATGCTAGTTTGTGTTTATAAACCAAAGACTTATAAAGAAGTATATTGGTTATGTGTTATTTGTTCTATGTTAACATTTGCTCTGCATCCTCCCATTCAAATGCATTGCGGAGGCAAATGTTGTTATGAGATTATAGCAACATTTGCTAATGTAACGTCGTCAATGTTTATTGTGACGTCATCAATTTAATTTTGATTTGCTGTTCAAAATCTGTTCGAAATAAGAAAAAGCATAACTACCCTATCAAAATGTAAATATAAATAATGGATATTTTAGCAACTATTGCTATGGTCCTATACACATTTCTATTACAGACAAATTTACATAAAGTTCTCATCAATAGTAATGTGTTATAGGGCCATAACAACATTTGCTAAAACATTTACTGCTTAAATGAACCTCATTTGGTTTAATTTATTAGTTGGGTCTTGGAATGGATTAAAGTTAGACACATCAAATTATGAAAATTCATAAATCTTCTGCTACATTTACCTTACTATACGAAATGGCATCAAACGATTGTGCAATGTCATCTGGTGTAAGAATGGGAGTTGAAACCGGATGTGACGTAGTAAGCGCATCCCGAACCATGACAGGAAATACTTCCTTCACGACAACGTGAAGAGTAAACTGTAATGAAACAAATTATTTCAATAAAGTCTGATGTTTGAATGTCGTACTGTTATTCAAGGCAATAAATACAAAATATGTTTTTGCAAACTGGTCGTTATCTCATTAGAACGAAACACGAACCAACAAATGCTTTTGTTGAGCCTTTGAGTACGAATTAAGAGATAACGTTAGCATGATTAAAAGCATTCCGTGAAAACGTTTGCCATAAAATGTTTGTGCAAAGATATTTTAATTATTTGAGCGAATCATATATAGATATAATATTGAAGCAATATTCTGTAACATTTCTCCTTTGGTTCAAGTATGGTATGGTAAAACATTTTTAACTTTTTTGCTGGTCTAATGCCTGCACAACATGGATCTGGAAATTAAACTACTTCACAAACAGATTATTGATATCGCCCTCCTATATATTAAAAAGAATACGGAAATTTCGAGGGATATAATGTTTTCCCAGTTAAAACATTTTCATTAACGTAAACGTGTTCAGCAGTTGCCATTTTAAGGTAAATACTTGGCCTGCTGTATACCACTGCATGATCCTATGCGACACAATCGAGCTTTCTCAGTTGTCCTACGTGTAGGGGACATTGAAGAGATCAATGCTGAATTAAATTAAATGATCAATTCTGAATTATTGCATCCATTGCTCTATGCATATACGTAGTTTAAATCTTTCTCTTTAATTCATTGTTCTTCTTTTTCTCAAATATCTGCTTCAGAGTCTTTCGATCAAGTTAAATGTGTTTGTTCTCGAATAACCTAGACCGTGAGGACCTTAGCGATAAATAAAACGTTGTACGTTGCAATATTATTCCTTTGCATTCAATAAGTAAAATTCCTTTGCTTTTTTTCAATTATTAGTAAAACATCGATATTATTACAATAATTCTCCAATCACATTGATAATTAGATTACATACTACAGTGTAAACACCATCCTAAGACAGATACTGTAGAATCATTTATTTTCTTGGTGTTAAAATTTCGTGGTTTTCATATACTAGCCAGTTTTAAGGACAATATATTTTGGTGATTTCTGATTTTCCCCTATCTATACCATACCAAATTTATCTTTTCGTGAAGATTTAATTTTTGTGGATGTTTGCTATCCACGAAATAAACGAAATTTAATGTCCCACGAACATTTATGATATAACAGAAGCAGACAGTTTTTCTCACAACTTGACGTCTTTGCAAAGGCAAGGGTCATTTGAAGATAAGGGAGACACCGACAAAAGGAAAGAGTTGGGAAGTGAACCGCCATTGTCAACCTTAGAAGATTCCATAAAAACCCCGATTCTGAAGGGGATCCCACATTAATCGCTTAGTAACCCTTTCACCCCTAAGTAACTTAAGTAGACTATACCATACATTCATCTGGGTGAGTCCATTATGGTCTACATTGGTGAAATGGTTAGGATACACACGCATTTTGATAAAGTAGGTCTGTTTTTCAACTCTACTATTCTGTATATGTATACACTAGTCGCCAATGTGTACAGGCTAGAGACATAATTCATGTGTACGGAACCATGGCTAACTTACCACTTCCCACTCCGGAAATACGTCATCCATGGCGAAGTACATGAGAAGACTTGCAAAACCTTCATTCAACCATAGATCATCCCACCATCGCATGGTCACCATGTTACCGAACCACTGGTAGAGAAATAATTGATGTTATGATAAACAAATACAAATATATTTTTGTTGAGATTGATGAAAAGTTGAAAAATGAGTTACTGACTGGGCTGAAACTACAGAGGGAAAATTATTAATGATAATTATAATAATATACAACATTTATATAGCGCCCTATATAATTTATAAAATTACTCTAAAGCGCTTTACTACATATGGATAATGGTAATGGTTATAGTTGTGAAAACAAAAAACAAAGGCTTACAATCACTTTTATACATTTAACAAGCAATGTGCACATAATTGAACAAATGAAAGGGTAGTATTTACATGACGTCTTTGCAAAGATTCTAAAATGCAGACGTGAAGAGGTGAGTGTTTATTTCCCTCTTGAACTTGGCCAGGGCATTTGACTTCCTAATCTATTCCACAACGTAGCCGAAACCCTTCCAAAGCATCTGTTTCCGTAGGTCACAGTACGAGATTTTGGGACACACAACAAAGATTCTGACTCCGACCGCAGTGATCTTGACAGCTGATACAGGGTAACAAGCTCCTGTAGGTACTGAAGAGCTGTTCCGTTCAGTGCCTTGTATGTGTATATCAGAATTTTGTACTGCGACCTGTATCGTACAGGTAACCAGTGCAACGAATGAAGCGCAGGTGTGATGTTCTCTCTCTCTAGAGTACGAGTAACTTGTCGTGCTGCAGTGTTCTGGACCCTCTGCAGACGACTAGTTAGTTTGTCAGATATACCACAGAGCAAGGCGTAACCATAATCCAACCGAAAGGTAACAAGTGAATGCACCAAAATCCTGCATGCATCTGCAGTTAGAAACTGCCGAATACAGCCGATGTTCCTGATGTGGTAGTAACAGGATTTGGCAATAGCGTTCACTTGTTTATCCATGATCAGAGAACTGTCAAAGTATACCCCTAAGTTTTTAACAGCTGGAACAGTCTCAATAGTTCTGGCACCAACCTTGAGCTGGATAGCCATTGTTTGCTGACACTTTGGGGAAAAGACGATTAGTTCCGTCTTTTCCTGTTTAAGTTTAAGCATGTTGGCGTTCATCCAGATACTGATATCTGTCAGACAAGCTTCCAGACTTTCCGAGACTATATTCCAACTGTCCTGTGGTTTTATGACCATGTACATTTGTGTGTCATCGGCATAGCAATGATAGCGAAGGCTGTGGCGACGACAAATCTCTCCAATCGGTTTGGAGTACAAACAATATTTTCGTGGTACTAACACCGACCCCTGAAGACCCCGAAATCTAGTACTTTGTCATGTGAGGTGGCAGATCCGATGGTAGCACACTGTCGTCGTTCACTCAGGTATGACTGTATCCAGCATAGTGCGGTATCAGTCACTCCATAAGAGTATTCCAGACGTTTATAAAGTATGCCATGGTCGATGACGTCAAATGCAGCTGACAAGTCCAGCATGACAAGCAGCGCTCTGCACTTGTTATCCAATGCAGAAGCTATATCACTATGTACACTAGGAGGGCAGTCTCAGTAGAGTGTCCCACGCGGTAGGCCGATTGAATGTTGTCATGGAGACTGTTAAAGAGTGAAGATATTATTTATCCTGATAAAGTGCCTACCGTATGTGCTATCTCGTGTGCTACGATCAATGTGACCATCAGTTGGTTCTCACTAGACGAGACATCCGGGTCAAACAAAAGGGCAGTCTCGCGATAAATCACGAGACCCCAGTTTTCCATGGCACCTCCGCTAAAATCAGGCACGGCGACGTGATCTGAAAAAGGAAAAAAAGTCATAAACGGGTAAACAATAATTGCTCTCACAGACAGGTTTGCTTGGCTTAGTATTAATATAAAATAATGGACTAAATAAAAACATATTTTCTAGGAATACTGCAGGGCAAACAGCTGATCCCTCAAATTAAACTGGTATGATAGTAAACGTTGCAAATTCGAACATGCCTAAAATTACCGATAACTGACGTTCTTAATATAAAACTTTTCATATTTCATGTTATTCTTTTTCATGTATGCTTACTTCATTTTCGCATACAAATCAAATCTAATTCTTTTCTAGAACATCTTTAATTGTCTTAGTATATGCACAATGTATGTACTCATTCATTTAAACACATTATGTATTTGAGATGTTTTATCGTAAAAGCATTTAACAGTGTATGTTAAATCATATATATGCGTTTATGATCTCTCGGTATACTTCCTAGATTCAGATGATATGACTTTTTGGGAAATATTAATTGTATGTGTTTTCCCTTCAAGTAACCAATCACACATGCCGTTACATATAATTGCTTGGTATTTTTTTACTCAAAAGAAATGATTCCTAAAGGTTGGCGAACAAAACAAATATCTGGAATAGGATTGTACAATATTTGTAAAAAAAACAGTTAGACATTCAAATGAGTCTGCACTACTATTGAAACGGAAGGCGATGTGCGTATTCTTTTTTTATTCAAACAGCGCCTGATTCCGCTTAATTACTGAAAACGGCGAAATTTGCGCAGTCAAATTTTCGTCCTTCGCCCATAAAATCAATTTTTCCCTAGTGTTAATTTCGCCCTTCACATTTAATTACTAGCAGTATTATGCGGTTTACTTATTATTCGCTGTAAGGCTAACTTCGCCCTCATTATGGAGGGCGAAAAGAGCGAATATTAAACTGCAGCGAAAAATTCCCGGTATACAGTAAGTATATGAGTTGTAAACATCAGAAGAGTTCTGTCTATTTTCAAATTAGGCATTTGTATCGTGTGTTTATAATGAACCATACCACTACTCATAATTGGCCAATACATTTTGTACGGCTGTCAAGGTTACAGCAAATATCGGGGCTGCAAAATATTTAAAAAGATGAATCAGTTTATAGTCTCAATTTTTATACAATAGTGATTTATAGTAAGCATGCGAAGTGATCAATCAAAGGCGTCGTTACTAACCTGCCTTCGGTACGACGTCTTTGATTTGGAAGTAATCGGTGAAGTAATCATATAATTGCACCCCTAAGTCAAGGGCGTAAAGCGTCTGGTTGATCTTGTTTGGCTGGGCCCAGATCCGTAACTGAAACAAAACCAGACCATTTTACGTAAAAATCAACAACATAAAAGCCTAGTGTCGTCACACAATGACACAATGACGTAATCATTTAATTTAAGCGTCATAAACTTCTATAAGATATACACTTGTTTTATTTTACAGCAATCATAAAACACGATATTTAAACATATTAAGCACGCTTGTCTTATTTAGTTTCAACATATTAATTGCCATAAATGGACAAGCGCGTAGGCACAAGTTAAAACAACTTATCAACGCCTTCTCCCAATATACATTTTAAATGACATTGCAATAATGACAATAAATATATATAAATATCACTCTTGTCGGTCCGGATAGAAGCGCGCAGAGGGTCATTTTGGGGGAAGAAACCGGAATGCTCAGAAAAAAAAACCCAACACATTGTCTCTCAGGTCAGTGAATCCAACCCAAACCGCTTGGGTGAAAGGCGAGTGCGCTACTCACTGCGCCACCCGACACTCCATGATACTGTGACGAAACAAATCATCAAACTCGATGCAAGTAAACAACATCGTGGAAAGGAAAAACAATAGAGGACAAAGACATCGTTAGAATTGTCTGTAGAGCAACTATGATTGACATAATTTGAATTTTAGTTTTGGATGACGTAGATACAGTAAATCGCATGATTTTGCAGAGAACGTATTTTCACGGTTATTTGCATGGAGAGTGGATCGTTATTTCAAATTAATCGTGATATATGGAAAAAAAGTATTTGGATAAACAGTATAAAGCTGTCATGTATATATCAACAATTTGAATCCTCATGTTTTTGTCGTTCAAGGCACAATTGCTAACATCATCATTGTCAAATCTGTGTTTTACAGTAGGTTTGTATATGATATGATGCTGAAATTTACTAAATATCGACAAAGCGAGGTCTATACATCTCTAAATGTTCTCGATTGATTCGTGGGGAACTGAAATCACGAAATGAAAAAAAAAGGAAGGTAAATACGATTTAACATAAACACTACTTGGAATATACTGTTAAACTGGTTCTTATTGAGCTGATTGAATTGTCTCTTCCTCTTGTATTTCAGCAAAAAATATAAACCTCGCGGAAATTAAAAGATTTACAGTAATTCTATTTGCTATTTGTAATCTTAATTGAAATTCATTAGAACACGTGATTGTTTCTTATTAGTAAAGCAAGAAAAGCAAACGACGAAAATACAAACAAAAGCAATAATGAAGTACTCCCAATACGATCGTTGTATGACAATTTATAGACACTGTAACTTGGTTAGAGGATAATTCCTAATTAGTTTGGTAAGATGACGCTCGCTAATTCTCTTTAAGTACATATGATTCAGGTCTAATTGGAAACAGCAATGCTTGTTATAACGGCGATAAGAGATTGATTTAATAGAGCTGTCGAGAATGAATTGTTTTCATAGAGAATATGCATGGAGTTCTAAATATACCTAACGCCGATGTTTATCACAAATAATCAGAAATGGAACTGCAGGAAAGTTGTCCACTGTTTCGTTCATACAGTAGAGTCTCATTAAAATCTGTTTATATTACGGAGGGCGAAACCTGCAGCAACAGATTCCAGGAATACAGTATGACGTTTTGTATTCTGACTATTTCGAGGGCGAAAAAAATATTTTAAGCATAAAAAAAGATGAAAAAAACATAAAAAGAAAAGAGAAAAAACAATCAAAATAATAATAATAATAAAAATGGCGAAAACCTGCGTAGATAACGTTACAATAAACAGGAAAAACGGTCATGTGCTTCTATATTGGCTTAAATCTACTTTGGTTTGGCAGGTTTTTGTTTCCCGTCAATAATTTTTTGACGGAATTTCATCTTTTCGTCTATAATATTTCGCGGTTGTTCGCCTTGTTTTAGTACTTTTTGTTGGGTTTTCGTCTTTCCGTTACTTCGCTTTATCGCAGATGAGAGAGCTAAAATGTATCATACACGCGAGATGAGACGTCGTCAGTCCAAGAAATATCAATTTCTGGAACAGGAGAATACTGCATTATCCTACATTATAAAGATATATCCACACTTCCGGTTAGGAAAAATATCTATGTCTTAGGGTAAAGACATGGGATTCTTCGTCACAATCATTGTATGAAGTCACGTCAACAATGCACTGACGTCACGTCATTAAAGCGATGACGTCACGTCAACAAAAGCAGATCACGGAAGATAACTCCGATCTGCTGGAAATTATGAAATACACGTATGCATTTCTTGAAATAAGGACTTGTGTTTCATGTAGGAGAAAATAATTATTTCCTACTTAAGAAGTCTCTTTACTCTCGGGGTAAGATTCTTAAATGTCTGGCACTCGGCATCTCCTCGGGCTAAACATTAAAGAATCTTAACTCTGTGATTGTGATTTTTGCTGTCTAACCCTCATGGTTGGGAAATATTGTATTGTTCTTGTATATGCATCTGTGAAACTGGCATTTTTATCCTCAGAACACATTTTTTTTCATAAAAATTGCACAAGGCTTCATGTGGTTTTTTCAGAAATAATTTATCAAAGCTTAATCTTGTCGAGAAACAAGTTTCTAATGAACTGTTTTTCGACAGTGGTACAGGAATCTGTAAAAAACGTAAAGTCTGTGGTCGTTTATCTGAGACACAATGTGAGTCTTTGTTCCGCATTGTCGAGCAGATTTAATACATAGTGTAGGCGGGGGATGTGTAATGACCCTTGTGTTCATGTCTGAATGCGGGGGAGTGATGACGTCACAACTCTCAATTATACTACAGTACTGTTGTGTGTGTGGAGGATGTTTGTTACACTCTATTTACATTGATTACAACAGGTGTCTGTCTGTTTGTCTGTCTGTCTGTCCGTCTGCTACACATGTTTACGTCTCAATCTAGGTCTATCATTGAAACTTATTTTATAACGTATGTTAGATCCCGGATGTAAAAGTTTTACAAGCTTGATAAGTCTGGTAATTTACTGTCAAATTATACTAATTCGCCATAACATTGTGTCTGTAAATATTTTATCATCTGTTGTCCTAAACGTAATATTGGAAATATATTCATGTTGTTGTTGTCTCAATCTTAGATATTTTTAAAACTTTTCAAAAATGGAAAAAATGTTAGTTAGGATAACCAAACTTTTAACAACGGTTTCTTGTATATTCATTTTATACCATAAAGCCAGCTTCATTCTCTTCGCGACAGGTGTAATCAAACACAAAATAGTCTTTGAAGATGTTTGAATGTTGATATTTTGCCCGACGCTGAAGCCAAACACCATCACAAATGTGTTCTAAACTTCAACAGTTATGACAAATTTCGAGTTTGGTTTTCGTCAACTTTTGATTAAGCTAACCAATCATTTTAAAGTTGTTTCCAAGAGGATACAGAGCTCAAATGTTTATAGATGTATAAACCGCAATTCTGTTATCTTCCTTATATGTTAAACAACTTTTGAAAGGTTATGTTGACTTGTAAATTATAAGCTTGGCACCTTTCTTATAACAGTCAAGATTATAACGATATTCAATACAGTAGCACGGGCAATTCTCCTATCTACAACTTAACGTGTGTTTACATTTGTTCTTGTTTTTAGTTTTTATTTACATACATGTCAGACATATCCTGTCCGATCTTTGTTACGGCTTCAATTTATGTCACATTAATTAAGGATGTAGGAAAACACTAAAGAGTTCCACTGTAGTGTTTGCATATAGAGTTACCTCCCATCGATTTCGTTTCTGATATAACTGTAGCCGGGCTGGTTGTTGTTGTGTTTTGTAATGTTTTGCGTCCTATAAACAGCTAAGGTCATTGAAGGACGTGACTCTATATATGTGTATGATATTTGTCTGTTTGTATGTATTATGTAAGCGGTACGTTGGTGTACATGTATTTGTCTCCTTGCTACAGCGCGGATCTGATGCCGACTATCTGAGTAACCATGCCGAAAGCACCTAGCAAAGTATTCTACTCGTTTACATTATACTGACATTGGGTTGATTAATTCAGGATTTATTATAAGTTTGCCGTCTCAAACTCTGTTCTCGCTTTTGGTATTGACATTGGATTCTGTATTTGATTGTGGTATTATTATAGTAATGATACATCATGTTTATCTGAATTTGAACGCTCGATCAGGGTTCGAACCCGGACCGTCGCCCTGGTAGGTCGATGTATTGTCCACTGATCAACCAATCCCAGTGTACTGATTAATATCTTACCTGGTAGTCGCCGTTGATCATGGCCTCCTTGTACTCAAAATCAGACACCACTATCGCTAATAGATACGTCGACATAATAGGGGTCACGTGGTAGTTTACTCTAATCCATCCGGGTTCTGTCGACATGTACTGCTCTGTCTCTACGGGCATGTTGCTAAGGGCCGTGTAACCTTGGAAATCAAACATGGCGGCATTTATCAGTTTTTGTTTAGAGTTTTCAAATGATAAACAACGAAAACAATGGAAGCAATTTAAGAAAAAAAAAAAATTAAGACAAAGAATGTCATATTATGGACTGGCCCTGTCTTTAAAATGTTAAATTATTTAGAAAAAAAATAACTCTAATAATTTTGAATTTTGAATTTTGATCACTTGCATGTCTGATTCCTGAGTTCTAATCTAAGCTAGTAGTAAAATGCAGCCGAGAAATTCTTCATCAAACTTAGGGCCTCGTTATATTATTAAATCTGTTTTTCCCGCAGATGGAGATACAAGTACAATGCAATAAGTGTCAAATTGACGAAATACTTGTGAACAATAGGTGCAATGCCAAATTGGCGTAAGAAGTGTTAAAAGTCACTGAGAATCACTTAAGAGCGAAAAAATCAATTCTACGACTTAATCTACCTTATTATACCAGTAAACTTCAATTAGCATTGAATTTTACAAAACACAATCTAAATCATAAATTCATGACCGAACTTAATGACGTACCAGCTAAATAATCTATGCATGGCTAACTTAATGATGTACAATCTAAATCATATTTGCATGGCCCAAATTACGGAAACACTCTCCAAATTAGCGGAGCACCATTTAAATTTAAAAACCATATCCAAGTTGTCGGGACATGGACCAGTTTTCAGGAACAACAACCAATTTTCAGGGACAACAACCAATTTTCAGGAACATAACAATTCAATAAGATTGTGCCTTTGTTCCCGAAAACTGGTCGTTGGCCCCCGAAAATTAAGTCGTTGTCCCGCTCACTCGCACAGCGGTATTCCCTTTGATGTAGCCGCGCTCCGGCGAAGCCCGTACAGGTGAGGCAGTCTATAGTCCCTGCCTTGCTGGCCGTGTTGTCGGTATAGCTATGCAACGACGGTTGCTCTAATTCCGTAATCAAAACGATATAATAACACAGGTCGATAGTACACTTATATTTACTTCGAATGAAATAAATAAAGACCAAGGAAATAATGCTTATTTTGTACTACGGCCAGGGTTAGGATCGAAATGAACGACCATTTGAGAATAATGCATAACTTTTACCGTATTGCTGAACTGGTGCTTTGATACATCACTCCAGGGACACATGAAGCCAGTATATACGTCTCTGATCACTCATATAATAATCAAAGACACAATATGAACTCTCAATATTAACGATATTTAATGACGAATGATAAGTACGTCCCGATGTCGTATACAACTTATATTACGTAAACTATATCCCCCGGCTCCGTTCGGTCCGAGGTAAATGTTCATAAACGAACCACTGTATATATATATATATGTTAAGACAGTTTACGTTCCTATTTTGCTTCATATACCTTTCAATCGTTTTTTATGTTGTTAATAGTTTTGTGATTTATATAATCCTCTTAGTAAGGAGATTCCCGATCACCTGTCCTCTCAGCTTTTAATTTCTATTGTATTTAACATAAATGTATTTTATTCATATTTTGGTGTTTTTTTAATCATTACTGATATAATTTCAATTAAATGGAACTTTATCTTTCCTGTACTGTCGTAAGAATATCCCTTCTGATTTAATGTTTCATGTTATAATATTTAAGGTTGAACTTTCTATTTAGTTTAGGTTATCGGGTGATAAAGAAAAAATAATTTACCCGGGTTCCATTGTAGTTATCACCCGATAACCTAAATTGAATAGAAAGTTAATCCTTATATTTATAGCCTTTTTCTTTACATAAAACGCGTCCATTTATGTCATCAAAGTAAACGTATGTAAATGAACACACAATCCAGCCGTCCTGTCAGTCAACAACGTGACGTCATCGGAATGTATGAATTTCAACAATGTATATTTACATTTCAACAATGTATCTTTTGCATGAATACACTAATGAGTTACACATCTGGTATCCGAGGTACTCCTGTTAACTTCCTAAAACAGCAATGTAAGCTCCCGGGTTGTTGAAACTTCGAGTGATAATGACAATGATCTCCACAAAGGCTTTCATTAGAAAAAATACCATTTAAGTTACGTACACTTATGTGTTTAAAGTGAACGAAATTTTCGAAATATCTTGTTTCTTTATTCATTTAAAGCGAACTTAACCATTTCAGAAAGATAATGTGCATCCGTATGTCAGTTATCAAAACTGTATAAAGTAAAGAGAGAAAAAAAATAGAGCATTATTCTTAACCAGAGACGTTATATTACAATATATACGACTTTGGTGTATAGTCTAAACAGTTGCTCTCGTCTAACGAACCTGTGATTACTAAAATTTAGAACCTATGAAACTTCTTATATAAAAGGCTAAGCGTGATCCGGTTGTTAAATATATGAATTATCAGAATTAATATTGAATATTGTATTACCTGTCTTCAGACAGAGACATATAAAGCCGTAAGTAGTATATACGTTTCCGCTTCAGGTCAACCATGACAATCAGAATAATATATAAACTAAAGGTATTTTGTTTTGGTTTCCTTTATATCATAACCAGAGACCTTCTCTGTATTAACGTAATATGTTAGGTATCAGTACATTTTACTCATAGTTCCAGTAGTATTAGTAATCATTATCATATACATATATAGATAAAATATATTGCCGTGTGAATGATGTAATTGATATACAGTAGGTGTTAAGATAAGTTCTGTGCACTGATCTTACACGAAAATGGCACCGTTTCATTGGTTGATATACCTGTCAATCACGCGCGGTAGAGAGGTGGGCCCTCGCGATGATTGGTTGATGTTCTTGTCGATGCTCCGCTGTTGTTTGATTGACAAGAATATCACGGGCCGTAATTCTCGTCACACTCTGGTGCATGCTGTGTACACAACCGCCAGTCATGTCGTCGTTGAACAGCACTACTACGTGATCTGTTTCTGTGCCGGATTATATATATTGCAAAGTTACTGTACCGCTACGGTCCAAATATACGGAAATGTATCAGTAAAAATATTTACAAAATAACTTCAACGTTGGTGTCTTCTGTGTTTGAATGTCAATAAAACGTATAGCATATTTTCGGTATTACCGTTTAATGACAAATCGACGACACTGTGTCGTCCTTATGTTAGGTCGAAAATTCAAATAAACAACAAAATACCGACAGTTACACATTTGATATTATTCAATACAGTACTTATTGATGTGTAATGCCACGGACTTAGATATAATTAAACATCTTTGTTCAATAATGAAAAGCATCTCGATCCACTCCTTGAGCCGGCTTAGGTGTGAAATTTGCGACAGGTACAAAATACTAAACACACCTGTGTCCAGTGCTTGATTGATAGGTTTTGCGTCCGCTTCACTACCGAGTAGTTCGGTCAATCACTGGTAAGATGTACAGGTGTGAAAACCACGTGATTATGTGGATATCCAATGCAATAACCTGAATTGAATTAATAATGTTTAATAAGATACAATGTATCATAAACAAAATTATAGCGGATACGTACGTATATACTGGTTTTATTCGTCTTTGATTAGAATTATGATAACGGAATATTTTCAGTATATAGGTTGTTTCTATAATTTTGTAGAGGTAGGGGTGCTGCCATGATATAAATGTAAATTAGAAATGTTTTATAATACTTTGGCAGTGCGATCACATTACATTATTACCATGCTGATATGATATTTAAACATTATTAGCTGTATACATGGATAATTACAATGGCACATGTAGTCACAGGTAAAGCATAGTTTCAGGTAGATTCAAGCATATCACACCTGCCGGTTGAAATAACAGACCTGTGCTCTAAGGGGGTTAGAGGTGTGATCAAACACCACACAAGTTCTGTATTACCACTGTCATAATTATGCTGTAATGAGTTAATTGGAGATTCCCAGGTAAGACCCACAGGTAAGAAAACTGTACCTGGTAATCCAATTCAATTCAGTTTATTGCTTTGAAAAGCCACATAATCACGTGGTTTCACACCTGTATATTTTACCTGTGATTATCCAAACTACTCGGTAGTGAAGCGGACGCAAAACCTATCAATCAAGCACTGGACACGGTGTGTTTAGTGTGATGTACCTGTACCCAAATTTTAAAACTAAGCCGGCTAAAGGAGTGGATCGAGTTGCTTTACATTATTGAACCAAGATGTTAAATTATAACTTGTGTATATTACATGTATATGGAGAGAAAAAGTTTAACCTTCATAATTCAATTATATTTTCGAGATAAATATAATCACGGACTCAGATTATCTAAGTCCTCGATATAACTTAGCATCGCATCAATAAGTACTGTATTGTATAATGATATTCAATGTGTAACTGTCGGTATTTTGTTGTTTATTTGAATTGTCGACCTAACATAAGGACGACACAGTGTAGTCAATTTGTCATTAAACGGTAATACCGAAAATATGCTATACGTTTTTTTGACACTCAAACACAGAAGACACCAACGTTGAAGTTATTTGTTAACATTTTTCACTGATACATTTCCGTATATTTGGACTGTAACGGTACAGTAACTTTGCAATATATATAATCCTGCACAGAAACTGGTCACGTAGTAGTGCTGTTCAACGACGACATGATTGGCGTTTGTGTACACAGCATGACAAAAGGTGATTACGTGTTGTCATCCAATTATAGGCTAATGTCGATTGGATGTCTTGTGATATATATTAACCCTTATAATAATAATTTATTTTATTAAAGAGTCACATATCCATTCACAATTTAAAGTTTCTAGTTGAAACAAAATTGATAGAATTAATTATCCGGCCAAGTTGACCTATGAGACACTATTTCAACGTTAAATACAGATTACTGTAAAAGCATAATATTTCGTTGGGGATTTAATTTCGTTTATTTCGTGGTTTAAAGAAAACCATGAAATATAATCCCAACGAAATTTTAATCGCACGAAATAGAAATTAGCGAAAATATGAAATAAACTATTACTTTAATTACAAACCATGCTGTATTTACATTTAGACACAGGTCATGATAAACGGTGTACTTATCGTCACAGACACAGAGTTAAACACTTATAACTATAGCGCGTCAATCAAGCGTTTGTTACATCGCTCTTTGTATGTAAATTATAGAGCATGACGGATTTGACCGATACCCATAGTGTGAGTTTATCTCGCCGGGTCTTACCTGAACCTCGCAAGCAGTACGGTGACCATCGGGCGATGGTCGATCTATTGTTTTCCACTGACTGGGGTGAAGCGAGGTGTGAAAATTTCACCTGGAGTGGATGGGTGATCACCTCGGGCGATGTACGGTAAGTCTTATTGTCCAGGTGTCAAACATAAAATAACTGGGTTTGAAAATATTGATTTCACGAAATATTTTCCCCACGAACTTGTCCCAAATCCAAAACAACGAAATTTAACCACCAACGTAAATATATGCTTTTACAGTATACTATGATTTAAAAATTAAAGTACAAATCAACTTCTCCACGGTCGGTTGCTGGTTACTTAATCAGATAATGAAATAACAAGATTTTTCCTTTGTTAAAGAAATAATTAACTGGGCCAACCTACCTGCAAACATATAAACATGCACACGTATGTACAATCAATCATATCAACATGTTTTTTTCATAACAACCACTTACCTATACATTCAACAACATTTTGCACATACTTGTACAATTATACCCTCTTGTCAAATACAGCTTTTTATACATTACATACCAAGTCAACCCACTTTTTCACTAACATTTTATGCGAGGACCAGGCTGCCTGCGCTAAGTAAAACGAATTCAGTACAAATGTCACTTTAGTATTTGAACATTGTGTTAGCAGGAAAAAAGTATTTCAGTATTAGCAATAGCAAAACAGTCCTATAAATAAATATTTGCTTTTGTCTATTATATTTTAACATGAACACCGATAATTCTCATAATACATTGTCACAGTTCCTTAGTTTAATGATTTTTCCTTGACGCTTACAAGTAGTGATTACATTTAATTATCCTTCAATGCTTAGTTAGAAAGTTCATACAGACCAACAGCTATATTTATACACCTACAATTTCAACATACATGTCCAATACAATGTACATCCACATGTAAGGTTTCTGTGCACGATTATACATTACAAACAAAGTAAACCTACTTTCTCATAATAAAATTGTATGCATGGGATGCTTGCACCAATTAAAAAAGAATTCAGAACGAATGTCACTTTCAAGTTTAAATATATTGTACAACAGGAAACAGAAAAAGAAATACCAAATGTCACTGCGAGTACATGCACCAGAATGTGACGAGAATTACGGCCCGTGATATTCTTGTCAATCAAACAACAGCGGAGCATCGACAAGAACATCAACCAATCATCGCGAGGGCCCACCTCTCTACCGCGCGTGATTGACAGGTATATCAACCAATGAAACGGTGCCATTTTCGTGTAAGATCAGTGCACAGAACTTATCTTAACACATATTGTATATCAATTACATCATTCACACGGCAATATATTTTATCTATATATGTATTTGATAATGATTACTAATACTACTGGAACTATGAGTGAAATGTACTGATACCTAATATATTACGTTAATACAGAGAAGGTATCTGGTTATGATAGAAAGGAAACCAAAACAAAATACCTTTAGTTTATATATTATTCTGATTGTCATGGTTGACCTGAAGCGGAAACGTATATACTACTTACGGCTTTATATGTCTCTGTCTGAAGACAGGTAATACAATATTCAATATTAATTCTGATAATTCATATATTTAACAACCGGATCACGCTTAGCCTTTTATATAAGAAGTTTCATAGGTTCTAAATTTTAGTAATCACAGGTTCGTTAGACGAGAGCAACTGTTTAGACTATACACCAAAGTCGTATATATTGTAATATAACGTCTCTGGTTAAGAATAATGCTCTATTTTTTTTCTCTCTTTACTTTATACAGTTTTGATAACTGACATACGGATGCACATTATCTTTCTGAAATGGTTAAGTTCGCTTTAAATGAATAAAGAAACAAGATATTTCGAAAATTTCGTTCACTTTAAACACATAAGTGTACGTAACTTAAATGGTATTTTTTCTAATGAAAGCCTTTGTGGAGATCATTGTCATTATCACTCGAAGTTTCAACAACCCGGGAGCTTACATTGCTGTTTTAGGAAGTTAACAGGAGTACCTCGGATACCAGATGTGTAACTCATTAGTGTATTCATGCAAAAGATACATTGTTGAAATGTAAACATACATTGTTGAAATTCATACATTCCGATGACGTCACGTTGTTGACTGACAGGACGGCTGGATTGTGTGTTCATTTACATACGTTTACTTTGATGACATAAATGGACGCGTTTTATGTAAAGAAAAAGGCTATAAATATAAGGATTAACTTTCTATTCAATTTAGGTTATCGGGTGATAACTACAATGGAACCCGGGTAAATTATTTTTTCTTTATCACCCGATAACCTAAACTAAATAGAAAGTTCAACCTTAAATATTATAACATGAAACATTAAATCAGAAGGGATATTCTTACGACAGTACAGGAAAGATAAAGTTCCATTTAATTGAAATTATATCAGTAATGATTAAAAAAACACCAAAATATGAATAAAATACATTTATGTTAAATACAATAGAAATTAAAAGCTGAGAGGACAGGTGATCGGGAATCTCCTTACTAAGAGGATTATATAAATCACAAAACTATTAACAACATAAAAAACGATTGAAAGGTATATAAAGCAAAATAGGAACGTAAACTGTCTTAACATATATATATATATACAGTGGTTCGTTTATGAACATTTACACAATCGGTTCATCATTTGCACGAGTTTATCAATAAATACTGGACAACTAGTACCTCGGACCGAACGGAGCCGGGGGATATAGTTTACGTAATATAAGTTGTATACGACATCGGGACGTACTTATCGTTCGTCATTAAATATCGTTAATATTGAGAGTTCATATTGTGTCTTTGATTATTATATGAGTGATCAGAGACGTATATACTGGCTTCATGTGTCCCTGGAGTGATGTATCAAAGCACCAGTTCAGCAATACGGTAAAAGTTATGCATTATTCTCAAATGGTCGTTCATTTCGATCCTAACCCTGGCCGTAGTACAAAATAAGCATTATTTCCTTGGTCTTTATTTATTTCATTCGAAGTAAATATAAGTGTACTATCGACCTGTGTTATTATATCGTTTTGATTACGGAATTAGAGCGACCGTCTTTGCATAGCTATACCGACAACACGGCCAGCAAGGCAGGGACTATAGACTGCCTCACCTGTACGGGCTTCGCCGGAGCGCGGCTACATCAAAGGGAATACCGCTGTGCGAGTGAGCGGGACAACGACTTAATTTTCGGGGGCCAACGACCAGTTTTCGGGAACAAAGGCACAATCTTATTGAATTGTTATGTTCCTGAAAATTGGTTGTTGTCCCTGAAAATTGGTTGTTGTTCCTGAAAACTGGTCCATGTCCCGATAACTTGGATATGGTTTTTAAATTTAAATGGTGCTTCGCTAATTTAGAGAGTGTTTCCGTAATTTGGGCAATGCAAATATGATTTAGATTGTACATCATTAAGTTAGCCATTCATAGATTATTTAGCTGGTACGTCATTAAGTTCGGTCATGAATTTATGATTTAGATTGTGTTTTGTAAAATTCAATGCTAATTGAAGTTTACTGGTATAATAAGGTAGATTAAGTCGTAGAATTGATTTTTTCGCTCTTAAGTGATTCTCAGTGAGTAATGCTAAAGTATTATCATATTTTTTCATGAAAACATGAACTACATTTGCAGCTAGTTACGATAACATCGATTTTCATTGAAATAACTGTTGCCAAATACGTAATAGCAGCCCGAACATGTTCAAATAGTATTCACTGTGTAAATCGTTACTCTTCGTATTCGACATCGTTAAGGCTTTTCGCATAAACTAACGATGTATTTCAGTTGTAGATAATAATGACAAATCGGAATTCAATATAAAACTATTTATCAAAATGTTATTACAATTCCTAACAAAATGAGGAATGCCATTAAAATGTCTGTTGTATAGTTTATTATATTGCTTACACAGTTGTTGTAATGGATTTTGCAATATGTCATTTATAGCGTCATAACATACCTTCCTCGTGCTGTATCGTCAATTTAAACGTGGCTTTCATGGCAGGTTCATCAAAGCATGGAAACACCTTCCGGGCGTCGGTAGACTGGAGCTGTGTGGCCGCTAGGTATCTAGAAGTATAAATGTAAATAATATTTTATAGAAATACGAAGTTAGAAAGCGTTTATTTGAAAATGTAATTTATCGATGCTTAAAGCCAGACGATGTAAGCATTGTACTGTACGCATGGACATTTCGTCAAATAAGGATTATATCAAAACAATAAAACCAAAAATGTTTCGAAACAAATGTAAAAGTACAGTAAAAAGATAATTATATACGAATACTACCACTACAAATGTCGTGTTCTTGGTACAACAGGTAGCATTTCTTAAACTACTGTTTCTTTTAAGCTGTGCTGGTTTGAATTTCAAGTAGAAGGTTACTGCCAACATCAGTGACCAATTTAAAAAGTCCACCAGTAGAGTCAATCTCCTTGTAACACGTACATGTGAAATTGAAATTGAAGAATAAAAACAGAACTTTTAATTCAGATATTGTCATTGTGCTTAGATGCCGCTGTGGAATATTTCGTTCTTGGGTGTTGATGTTTTTGCATATTTTATTCTTCAGTACTGAAGTTGTGGTATATTGTTTGTCGATGCTGTGGTATATACTTTATCTTTGTGTGTCGACCATGTAGCAAACTTTATCTTTGTGTGTCGACCATGTAGCATACTTTATTACCTTTGTGTGTTGACGCTGTGGCGTATTTTGTCCGTGTGTGTTGATGCTGTGGCGTATTTTGTCCGTGTGTGTTGACGCTGTGGCGTATTTTGTCCGTGTGTGTTGACACTGTGGCGTATTTTGTCCGTGTGTGTTCACGCTGTGGCGTATTTTATCCGTGTGTGTTCAGGCTGTGGCGTATTTTGTCCGTGTGTGTTCACGCTGTTGCGTATTTTGTCCGTGTGTGTTGACGCTGTGGCGTATTTTGGCCGTGTGTGTTGACGCTGTTGCGTATTTTGTCCGTGTGTCTTGATGCTGTGGCGTATTTTGTCCGTTTGTGTTGACGCTGTGGCGTTTTTTGTCCGTGTCTGTTGACGCTGTGGCGTATTTGGACCATGTGTGTTCACGCTGTGGCGTACGTTGCCCGTGTGTGTTCACGCTTTGGCGTATGTTGCCCGTGGGCGTTGCCGCTGTGGCGTATTTTGTCCGGGTGTGTTCACGCTGTGGCGTACGTTGCCCGTGTGTGTTCACGCTGTGGCGCATTTTGTCCGTGCGTGTTGACGCTGTGGCGTATTTGGTCCGTGTGTGTTGACGCTGTAGCGTATTTTGTCCGTGTGTGTAGCATACTCTATTACCTTTGTGTGTTGACGCTGTGGCGTCTTTTGTCCGTGTGTGTTGACGTTGTGGCGTATTTTGTCCGTGTGCGTTCACGCTGTGGCGTATTTTATCCGTATGTGTTCAGGCTGTGGCGTATTGTGTCCGTGTGTGTTGACGCTGTAGCGTATTTTGTCCGTGTGTGTATACGCTATGGCGTATTTTCTCCGTGTGTGTTGACGCTGTGTCGTATTTTGTCCGTGTGTGTTTGCACAGTGGCGTATTTTGTCCGTGGGTGTTCACGCTGTGGCGTATTTGTCCGTGTGTGTTCACGCTTTGGCGTACTTTGACCTTGTGTGTCAAGATATTTTTGTCCTTGATATATTCCGTGTGTGTTCACGCTTTGGGGTATTTTGTCCGTGTGTGTTGGCGCTGTGGCGTATGTTGTCCGTGTGTGTTCACGCTGTTGCGTATTTTGTCCGTGTGTGTGTTGACTCTGGGGCGTATTTTGTCCGTGTGCGTTGACGCTGTGGCGTATTTTTTCCGTGTGTGTTGACGCTGTGTCGTATTTTGTCCGTGTTTGTTGACGCTGTGGCGAATTTTGTCCGTGTGTGTTGACCCTGGGGCGTATTTTGTCCGTGTGCGTTGACGCTGTGGCGTATTTTTTCCGTGTGTGTTGACACTGTGTCGTATTTTGTCCGTGTGTGTTGTCTCTGTGGCGTATTTTGTCCGTGTCTGTTGACGCTGTGGCGTATTTCGTCCGTGTGTGTTGACTCTGTGGCGTATTTTGTCCGTGTGGCTGTGGCGTATTTTGTCCGTATGTGTTGGCGCTGTGGCGTATGTTGTCCGTGTGTGTTCACGCTGTTGCGGATTTTGTCCGTGTGTGTTCACGCTTTGGCGGATATTGTCCGTGTGTGTTGACGCTGCGGCGTATTTTGTCTGTGTGTGTTCACGCTGTTGCGTATTTTGTCCGTGTGTCTTGATGCTGTGGCGTATTTTGTCCGTTTGTGTTGACGCTGTGGCGTTTTTTGTCCGTGTGTGTTGACACTGTGGCGTATCTTGTCCGTGTGTGTTGAGGCTGTGGCGTATTTTGTCCGTGTTTGTTGACGCTGTGGCTTATTTTGTCCGTGTGTGGTGACGGCGGGGCGTATTTTGTCCTTGTGTGTTCACGCTTTGGCGTATTTTGACCTTGTGTGTCAAGATATGGCGTATTTTGTCCGTGTGTCCTCACGCTGTGGCGTATCTTGTCCGTGGGTGTTGACGCTGTGGCGGATTTTGTCCGTGTGTGTTGACTCTGTGGCGTATTTTGTCCGTGGGTGTTCACGCTGTGGCGTATTTTATCCGTATGTGTTCAGGCTGTGGCGTATTTTGTTCGTGTGTGTTCACGCTGTTGCGTATTTTGTCCGTGGGTGTTCACGCTGTGGCGTATTTGTCCGTGTGTGTTCACGCTGCTGCGTATTTTGTCCGTGTGTGTAGCATACTCTATTACCTTTGTGTGTTGACGCTGTGGCGTGTTTTGTCCGTGTGTGTTCACGGTGTGGCGTATTTTGTCCGTGTCTGTTGACGCTGTGGCGTATTTTGCCCGTGTGTGTTGACGCTGTGGGGTATTTTGTCCGTGTGTGTTGCCTCTGTTGCGTATTTTGTCCGTGTCTGTTGACGCTGTGGCGTATTTTTTCCGTGTGTGTTGACACTGTGGCGGATTTTGTCCGTGTGTGTTTACGCTGTGGCGTATTTTGTCCGTTTGTGTTGACGCTGTGGCGTTTTTTGTCCGTGTGTGTTGACGGTGTGGCGTATTTTGTCCGTGTTGATGTTTTTGCATATTTTATTCTTCAGTACTGAAGTTGTGGTATATTGTTTGTCGATGCTGTGGTATATACTTTATATTTGTGTGTCGACCATGTAGCACACTTTATCTTTGTGTGTCGACCATGTATCAAACTTTATCTTTGTGTGTCGCCCATGTAGCATACTTTATTCCCTTTGTGTGTTGACGCTGTGGCGTCTTTTGTCCGTGTGTGTTGACGTTGTGGTGTATTTTGTCCGTGTGTGTTGGCACTGTGGCGTATTTTGTCCGTGAGTGTTGACGCTGTGGCGTATGTTGTCCGTGTGTGTTCACGCTTTGGGGTATTTTGTCCGTGTGTGTTGTCTCTGTGGCGTATTTTGTCCGTGCGTGTTCACGCTGTGGCGTATTTGTCCGTGTGTGTTCACGCTTTGGCGTATATATTGTTTGTCGATGCTGTGGTATATACTTTATATTTGTGTGTCGACCATGTAGCAACATTTATCTTTGTGTGTCGACCATGTATCAAACTTTATCTTTGTGTGTCGACCATGTAGCAAACTTTATCTTTGTGTGTCGACCCTGTAGCAAACTTTATCTTTGTGTGTCGCCCATGTAGCATACTTTATTCCCTTTGTGTGTTGACGCTGTGGCGTCTTCTGTCCGTGTGTGCTGACGCTGTTGCGTATTTTGTCCGTGGGTGTTCACGCTGTGGCGTATTTTTTCCGTGTGTGTTGACACTGTGTCGTATTTTGTCCGTGTGTGTTTGCACAGTGGCGTATTTTGTCCGTGTGTTCACGCTGTGGCGTATGTTGCCCGTGTGTGTTCACGCTTTGGCGTATTTTGACCTTGTGTGTCAAGATATTTTTGTCCTTGATATATTGACACTATGGTACACATTATATGTGTGTGATGATACGATGGTGCATGTTCGTGTTTTTCGCTCGTGGTTAAAAAGATGAATATTGTTTTATTATGTGGTGATGTAGACCTAAAAAAAGTTAGATCAACCACGACGGGTCTTAACTGTTATGCTAGATATGCAATTTTGCTGGATTTTTTAGGGTTCGAGTCACGACACGGCTCTGTATTGTATCTTTGAGCAAGATTCGTTACTCCGCTTGTTCCAGTCCACTCAGCTGTAAATGAGTATGTGGTTGAACAGTGCTAGAATTGTTGAATGCTATAGCCGTGAGCGCTGAAATGGCAGCTCCGGCTGTATGCTCCCCAAAATTGAGAAAGATATTGACTGGTTGCAAAGGCCCTATAACCACGGATAATAATTTGTGAACCGCTTTGAGACGACCTACGAACTAGGTTGTGATAAAGTTGTATATAATAACATCGAAATACTATTATAAGAAAATCTTCCAGATGAGAGTATTGCATTTGATATAAAACAGTGTGACGTAACATTTGAAGCGAGGACATAACAAACATATTGACCCGTTGTTCCTAATAACAGTAACACCAAGCCTCAATAACACGAATCAACCACAACTACATGATCATGATTAAACCAAAAAGGATGAAAGAATCTACAGCTTTATTGATCTAAGCGATTTATATCACACAGGAATTAAACACGTGTTTATAGCGGCACCAGATCCGTATCATGTTTGAATGAAAGAAAGCGTTATACTTATCAGATGTGGGGAAACTTACTACATCTTGTTTTTATTTGATGTGTTTACACAGAAGTCAGATAGATAAGAAGCTATGTTTACTTCTGGGTTATGTTTCTGGTTGAATCATAAAATCCACCAATAGGAACTTTGCCGAAGAAAATGGATCGTGACTTTTTTTTTTCGCAAGACATAGAACCATCAACAAGGAAGAAAAAAGTCTCGTATAATTGGTTTAATTTTGATTAATTAACGCGTACAATACATCTGTAGTTGTTAACTTACTTATAAACAGGTACTGTACCCCTGTATTTGTATTCTAACGGAGAAAACTTAATCCAGTTAGACGATAGTTTTCAAATAGGAACCGCGCAGTTCTGTGGGAATGATAAATATTTATTTCATC